GGAGAGTACATTTTTCTACTCACTGAAATCTGCCCCGAAATATACTTTTAAATTCCAAATTCCTGGGGCACCTGGATGGCTCAGTCGGTTAAGCGTCCGACTTCAGCTCAGGTCATGATCTCACAGTTCATGGGTTCAAGCCCTGTATCGAGCTCTGTGCTGACAGCTAGCTCAGAGCCTGGCTTCTGTTTCAGATTCTGTGTCTCCCTCTCTCTCAGACCCTCCCCTGCTCACACTGTCTCTCTCTCTCTCTCAGGGGGGAAAAAAACCATTAAAAAAAAAAGAATGTTCTCTCTTTTAATGTTTCCCTCCCCACTGTCCCTCCCCTGTTCACACACTCACTCTCGCTCTGTTTTTAAATTTTTTTTAAATGTTTATTTATTTTTGAGACAGAGAGACAGAGTGTGAGCAGGGGAGGGGCAGAAGGAGACAGAATCCTAAGCAGGCTTCAGGCTCTGAGCTGTAAGCACAGAGCCCAACGTGGGGCTCGAACTCACAAACTGTGAGATCATAACCTGAACCGAAGTTGGACACCCAACCTACTGAGCTACCCAGGCGCCCCTCGGTCTCTCTCTTTAAAAAAAGAACAAAGGAAAGAAAACTATTTTTTTTAACTATTAGTCTCTTATACTCTAATAGTTCAAAGTTTAGGACTGGAAAGATTTTGAAGTCATGTAACAAGGGAAAATGCAAACAAAGCTTTAAATTTGGCATGTGCATCATACATGTATGTACATGCACGTACATATGTAAAATCTTATCTCAAAAGCAAAGAAATAGGTAAAGACCCTGCTACTGATGATTTAAGAAATACCCTGGGAGCAATTTTCTACAACTCCTCTCTTTTATGTTTCAAAGCTATAAAAATCACTTTTCTTCAACTCAGCTACTTTCATTTCGACCCTAAAAGGTTCATTTAGTGTTAAACATTGAGTCACACGTGGCCACTTGAAACAAAAAGATTCGATTCACAGAGGAAGGGGAGACTGTCTCATCAAGGCACATTAGGCATGTGCCTAAAAAAGCTTCTTTATTCTTATCTTGAGTTGATTTGTGTGCAAGAATAAACCACACTATTGCTAACAGAAAATGACCAAGGTTGGCCTCTTCCATTATCCTGGAATTGATAAGCAAAGGCAGGAGATAAGCAAAGACTTTGGAAATATCTCAAACTCTTGGGGAGAGCTACTGAATTTCACACTAATACCAACCACATAGCTAAATTAGAGCAGTTAGACACATATATATACACATACACATACACTTGTACACACATATAAATCCTGAGGAGAACCAAGTCTAACAGGCATGAAAATAATAAAAGCCACTTATGGAAAGTAATTAGCATTGCCCATTCTAAGGCAGGATTTTACATAATCTTCCTAACAACCCTCTTAAAGAGTGGTAGAACTCTAATTCTCACCTATATAACGACACCATGTAACCAGAAAGGAAAAGACCAAGCCCCGATCTGTTTTGAGCCCCAGCCAGTAATACATTTTTCTCTGTTTTAAAGGCTATGATTTCTATTATGACCCACGAACATGTTAAACCTAAGGAGACCCAAAAAACTCCTCAATTTTCCAACCATGCCAATTCAGAAAAACTTCCTCACTCTATCAACAGATGTTAAGACACTGTTAGGAAACAAATGAGTCCACCTCTGAAAAGAAAGAGAAAAAGGGGACTGTGAACCAGGTGCAATTTAGTGGGTTCCTTTATCAGTTAGGAAATATGGTAGGAAAACAGACCACAAAGAAAAGCAAGAGAATACTTGGTGAGCCTTCTCCTGGGATTCAGGTACTGTGACTTTCTAAAGGCAATGAATGGCATACATAAAGGCATTTGTGGGCTCAAGAGCTGAGACGACAGCAAGATCATTCTTTTTAAATGCAAACTTTGCATTTTCAAGCAGCAAGGTCTTTCAGAAAACTTAAGTGCTTTCAGCCAACTGCCTAGGTCAAATCATAATTTATAACAATAAGAATTAGAAACTGAAAATTAAGTTTTCCCCCTTATGTTTCAGTGATCAGTTACTTGCCTTTTAAGCTCAAAATTTACCTTGTTTGCCTATATAGTCAAAATGGATCTGGGCTCCTTAATATTTAAATATTTGTAAAATTTTTAAATATTTTCCCATTCCAGCTGATACAGTGTTAAGATTTGTCAATAGAGGAACCTATAAAAATACTTCAGGAAGAAAGAGTTTGATTCCTGGTCCCTATCTGGCTTGCACATCAAACTCCAGAATTTGGCTCTTCAGTGATCAGCTGCCCGAGAGCATACAGCATCTTCTACAGCAACGTGCAGCGGCCACAGTACCCAATGGTCAACAGGTGCCCCTCGTATTTTCTTGGGCAACTGTGTAGCAAAATATCTCCTCTAAGAAACCTACCTGTGAAAAGCTTTCCCTGAGTACTCTAGAAGGCAGAATTCTGGCAAGTTGCAGAGGGTATATTTCTAGAAATTCCACTGACATGACACCACAGCAACTTCTCTACCGTTCAGTGAGCCACATCATACCCTATTCCACAAGGTCTAGATCTCAACCCAAGATGGGGGAGAAGTCTCTTACCTAACACTACCATGAGAAAAAAACAAAAACAGACACAAGACTTGGTTGGTCTTTTATGAATTTTAAAAACAACATACACTACATATGAACATGCTACACTTTGACCTACCTAAAAAATCACCTGGGGGATTTCCAATTTTGAGTGAAGAATCAAACAAAAGAAGACTGCAGCAAGTTTAGGTTGTGATGCAAGCTACTCTACCACACAGAACCTATGATCCAGCATATTCATGGTTATCTGAAGTATCTATGATAAACAGAGATGCTATAACTAGGAGCCTCTAGCCTGCAGCAGTTCTTTGCTATAGGACATTGGCACTAGAGGATCCACCTTTCCCCAACAGTCCATGGGGTAAAGTTCCCATGGGGAACTTCCAGCAAGTTCCACAGGTAGGACTTCTAGCATACTCCATTTGTACAATACTATACTGATTTCTCTACCATTAGCTGAGCTACAGCCGTGCACTCTCCAGTATCAGCCCTGGAGAAGGCGGCTCTTCCATATGCATTCTGTCTCAGACTCAGGAGAAGCATCCAGTCCTTTTATTTGCTATTTGTATATTCTTTAGAGTTCTCTTTCTTTAATAAACCAATCGCTCATCATTCCAAACCCCATTATACTGAATACTCTTTTTCTTAAGTAATCTCTACACCCAACATGGGTCTTAAACCCACAACCCCAAGATCAACCAAGAATCACACGTTCTACTTACTGAGCCAAAAAGGTACGCCGTGAATAATCTTTTATTAAACTCTGCCTAATTCAAATTACTACACAATTTTTCCCTCCTGATTAGACTTCAACTAAAATACCATGAGTGTTCTGCTCAGTACCATGAAAACCAACACAAGAACCTAATTTTAAACAATTAAGAGTTCATTTTGACATATTTTAGCTTTAAAACTAAAAATTAAATAGAAATAATGTAAACTTGGTTTAAGCATAGTACTAAATCCAAATTAATGTATAGATTTCTTAAAACCTCATGGTTTGGCAAGTTATACATTCCTTCTCCAAATGTTCTGTAGTCTTTAAAAAAATTTTTTTTATGTTTGTTTATTTTTAAGAGAGAGAGACAAAGTTTGAATGGGGGAGGGGCAAAGAGAGAGGGAGACACAGAATCCAAAGCAGACTCCAGGCTCTGAGCTGTCAACACAGAGCCTGACGCAGGGCTCGAACTCACGAACAGGGAGATCATGTCCTGAGCTTAAGTCAGATGCTTAACTGACTGAGCCACCCAGGCATTTCTGTCCTATAGTTTTTAAATGAACATTAAAAGTCAACTTTTAATAAATAAAAATATTTATTTATTAAAAATAAAAAAATAAAAATAACCCTTAGCATTATTTTTAATAAGTAATACCTTATCTCTCTTATTATTTAAGTTCTAAAAGGCCTAATGTAGGGGCGCCTGGGTGGCTCAGTCAGTTAAGCGTCTGACTCTCAGTTTCAGCTCAGGTCATGACCTCACAGTTTGTGAGTAGGAGTTCCACATTGTCAGTGCAGAGGTGCTTCAGATTCTGTATCTCTCCCTCTCTCTCTCTCTCTGCCTCTCTCCCATTCATGCTCACTCCTGCTCAGTCTCTCTCAAAATAGATAAACTTAAAAAAATATTTTTTAAAGGCCTAAAATACGGAAGCCACAATTGAAAATAATGTTGTAAGTTTTCATTATTAAAAGGGGCAGTTATGTATCAACACTGACAGTCTGAAATGGCATGGGTCCAATAGCTTGACCAATTCCACTATTTCCACTGATAGACGTAATAGTTCTAGCATATTCTTCCCCACAAGGAGCCAAAACAAGAATGTAATGGTGGACTGGTACAAGCTAATCAGTATCTTGAAAAATGGCTTAAAATGCAGGGGATCCACAATGACTTCTTACAGCAATGTTTCAATGTCCCCTGTACCTGCTAATTGGAAATATACTATGGAGTTCACTATTTAATAGTTCAATCTAATTTTAAGCCTAAAACAGTCCAATGACCTATTTACAAAATCAAAAACCAACAAAGCAGTCCACCACAATTACTCAAGAGGTAAAAACACCCAACATCTTTTTTTAAGTAGAAAATAACCATCACCACTCCATCAAAAACAGAAAAGAAGGAAGTCTAGTAGATTACACACTGAAAACAAAATAAGTGTTTTGTGTGGTTTTTAATGGACTTTAGAATCATACTCTAATTTCTTGAACAACACAAAGGAAAACTAAATATCACTGATGGTTCCTTTTGAATGACTCCATAAATGAAACTGTATTAAAATTGTCAGTAGCCACAATTATGAGAGGTATATCTAAAATACAAAAAAAAAATTACTCTTCAAGACATATTGTATGTTACTGCTCAGATGTTGGCCTTAGAAAAACAGAAATACTGCTTTTATATGGAAATTTCTCTAAAAATACAGTTTTTCTTACTTGAGAGAGTCCAGGGGACGATGCATGTCCCGGGGGCGTTGCCGCAAGATTTGGATGCCCCTTGTTTATTTCATGTGCTGAATAAGGGGAAGGGGTCGGGGGTCCCGGTTGTCTTGCTACTTGTGTTACCTGTGAGGAAATCAATATTTAGTAAGAGTTTTATATTATTAACTCAATCTTAATAAATACAGACGAACTAGTTAATTTTTAAAACTGAATTCTCTGCCTCATAATTTATACTAAAATAAGTACCAGACTGACTAAAGGCTTAAAATTTCAAAATGAAAAAATAAAATGCTTAGGAAAAGAAAAAAAAGGCATGACTATTATCATCCGTTTGACAAGATTCTTGAAGCATAATCTAAAACCAAAAGCTTAAAGGAAAAATTATGCTAAATGCGAGAAGTTACATTTGAAACTAAAATACTGTTTGGTTTTAATATAATGCCACTTATATGACATTTTGTAAAAAAAACAAAAACAAAAACAAAAACAAAAAAAAACAAAACAAAACCAAACCAAAACAAAACAAAAAAACCCAAGAAAGAGACGATTGCAAGGGAAAGGATGACTATAGAAGGGACACAGGGGATTTTTGGAGTGAAATAGCTGTTCCGTATCTTGCCTGTAGTGGGGATTACATGTCTTTCTATGTTCGTCGAAATTCACAAAACCGCACAATAAAAAAGATGAAATTTACATTATTTAAATTATATATCAATAATTTATTGTATATATCAATAAATCTGAACCAAAAATGGGAAAACTTGTTTACAGAGTATAATCTCATTTTTAAAAATTTTTGGATTTTGGCTTTGGATTTAAAGTTTATTCGTTTAATTTTGATAGATTCACAGAAAGTGTGCATGGAGGGGCAGAGAGAGAGGGAGACAGAGAATACTAAGCAGGCTCCATAATGTCAGCACAGAGCCCAATGTGGGGCTTGAACTCACGAAACAATGAGATCATGACCTGAGCCAAAACCAAGAGTCAGAGAGTTAACCAACTGAGCCACTCGGGCGACCCAGCTCATTTTTGTTTTTAAAACAGTACACCTAACTATAAATGTAAAGTCACATGTTTGTGTAAAGTCACATGTTTGTATATTTCTATATGTATACCTAAGCCTACAATCTACGTCTACATATGTGTGTATATAAAGTATATATATGCATATACACATACTCGCAGGTATATATGTCCTATTAAAAATACTTGTAATGAGTTACACAAAGATCTGAACAGAAAGCATTACAAGTATTTTTTTTCTCATTTTTATTTTCTAATAAATCTAATAAATCAATAATCATGAACTTGTATGCAAAAATAATTAGCATATGCTTTTATGTAAACAAAAGTTACATTTTTCCACTTTTTGCTGGCAATAAATTGCCATCAGCCTATTATGATGGATATAAAATCACATTACCCAGGCCCATTTCCAATGTCCACTAATGAATCCTAGCCAGCTCCTCTCTACCACAATCTAACCCAGACTAGCACTGACTGAAATTCTGGCAAACCTCCATGAATGGGGGGCAATTTTATAATCATAGAATATGAAAGAATCCATTCTCCTTAAGGTGAGGACCTCAAAGGGGGTGGGGGGGAAATGAAAGCTTTTACAATCTATTAGAAACTACAGACCTCTCCTAGAATCATATTTTTTAAAAATATTTATTCATTATTTTGAGAGAGACAGGGAGTGCATGCATGTGAGGGAAGGGACAGAGGGAGAGGGAGAGAGAGAACTGCAAACAGGTTTCATGCTGTCAATGCAGAGCCCATCACAGGGCTCAATCTAATAAACCATGAGTTCATGATGTGAACTGAAATCAAGATACAGACATTTAACTGCCTGAGCCAACCAAGTGCCCACAGAATCATATTTTTTTTTAATTTTTAAAAAATGTATTTACTTTGAGAGAGACAGAGAGACTGTGAGTGGGGGAGGGGCAGAGAGAGAGGGAGACAGAGAATCACAAGCAAGTTCTCCACTGTCAGTGCACAGAGTCCGATGCAGGGCTCAAACTCATGAAACAGTGAGATCATAACCTGACCCAAAATCAAGAGTCAGACACTTAACCAACTGAGCCGCCTAGGAGCCCTAGAATCATATTTTTTAAATGCATAAAATATATAGGATTATGATAAAACCAATTATATTGAAATATAGATGTTAAATATAATTTTGTGATATAATTACGTTCTTTATAATATATTAAAAAATAAAAACTATTTGCCTACATCTAATTCAAAGAAATGACAACATTCAATTAGGTATTTTCTCCTCCCAAGTCTCAGATTTCCTGATTTTTCTCACATTTAAATATTCTCCTCAGATGGGAAGGAAAGTAGTTTCCAAATGATATTAGTTTTTCCTGGAATGCCCTCAGTCAGAAGCTCTAAATAAAGTCTAGTCCCCGATAATGGTAACCCAACTTTAGATTTCTTTACGTCTATGTAAAACAGCTTTAAGACCTGACTGACCCCAATGCTGAAATAAAATGGATTCACGGAGAGCTAACTAGAGGCAAAAAGCTTACAGGCTAAATAAAAGAGATTTAAGTGATGCTAAAATGTGACTAAAGTTTAAGACGTAAAATAACTGTATTTAATTTTGTTATGGCTTTATGATTTTCTTGAAAAACGGTTCTTTCCACTTTTGACTGAAAATTACATTTATAAGGGCATGAAGTTTACCATGAAATGCAACAGCAATTATAAATCTCAGGAAAATTATTCAAAGGATAAAAACTGGATTACTATGTAAACATCTACTGTAGAAAACCAGTAACTAGAAATGAAGAGTTCCTGCAAGCAAATTTCTCCCTGACAAGTGCTTGTAAATGTATATTCTTATTTCACATGTTTTAGAATAAATTATTTTAATATCCAGCTAAAGTAAAATATCAAAATGGATTTTAAAAATTTTAATGTTTATTTTTGAATTTTTAATTTTTTTAAAAATTTATTTATTTGTGAGAGAGAGAGAAAAAGAGAGAAAGAGAGAGAAACAGCACAAGTGTGGGAGGGACACACAGAGAGAGGGAGTCACAGAATCTGAAGCAGGCTCCAGGCTCTGAGCTGTCAGCACAGAGCCCAATGAGGGTCTCAAACTCATAAACCGCGAAATCATAACCTGATCCAAAGTTGGACACTTAACTGACTGAGCCACCCAGGTGCCCCTATATTTTTAACATCAGAAATTTACACAATGAGAATAGCAAATATCTTTGGGATGTTTGATCCAAAAAAGATTCCTAAATTGCTTTTTCAGCTATAGTTAGATAAAACTATCAGCAATATTTTCAAAGGAAGACAATGACCATAATACAGAACTGAATTAAAATATTTATATTTTTGTACGATAAATAAGTTGAGATTTAGTCGTTATATTGTGCGTTCTTTCTAATATTTGGACTTCTAATGACTTAATAAGAATAAAGAATGGAAAAATAAAATGTAAAACATCAGTAAAGTCTAGAGTTTCCTTACTCTATGTTATTTTGCAAATGCACAATCAAATCCTTGAACCTTCTATACTAGCATTAGGGGATCATTCATACCTATCACTGAGGAATTTTATTTCTCAAATTAATCTGGATAATCTTCCACAAAAATCTATAACACACTTATGACTGGTCTGCTAAAAAACAGTTACCTGCATATTTGTCTACTTTGCCAAAACATCTGAAAAAGCCACTAGTGTACATACATTTAGAAGACCCTGCTGCATATTAACCTCTAAAGCATCAGATTATAAAGTTTAAAATAAGTAGCTCTTTGATGAGCAGTGGGTGTTATATGAAAGTACTGAATCCCTATATTGTACATATAAAACTAGTATTAGACTGTATGTTAACTAACTTGAATTTAAATGAAAAAGTTTAAAAAAAAAAGAAATTCACACAGTGTAACAAAGTGATAGCAAAGAAGTTAGCTATATAAAATCTATGATAGGTAAATTCTCCAATTCATCCTGATAGAACAATCAAATATTAAGTTTACTGAGGATAATAAACCATTAATAATATAGGATAATGTAAAAACAAATTGGAGTTGATTAAGAATAAAGAAATATAGGGGTGCCTGGGTGGCTGAGTCGTTAAGCATCCTACTCTTGATTTTGGCTCAAGTCATGATCTCGTGGTTTGTGGGTTCAAGCACATCAAGATCTAAGCTGACAGCTCAGAGACTGGGATTCTGTCTCTCTCTTGCTGCCCCTCCCTGCTCACCCTAGCACATGTGCGTGCGCACTCTCTCTCTGAAAAAAATACATAAATAAACAAGGAAAAGAATCACCCTGGGGGGTTATTTTAAAGTAAATAAATAAAAATTAGTAAATATTTTAAAATATTACTTCATGTGTATCGTAACAAAAGTAAAATTTACAGGGGCACCTACACGGCTCAGCTGATTAAGCGTCCGACTTCGGTTCAGGTCATGATCTCACAGTTCATGGGTTCGAGCCCCACGTAGAGCACTGTGCTAACAGCTTAAAGCCTACAATCTTCTTCCCTCTCACTGCTTCACCCCCACTCGTGTTCTGTCACTGTTTCTCAAAAATAAATGAACATTAAAAAAAAAAGGTTAAAAAAAAAAGTAAAATTTACAAAAACAAACAACAACAAAAAAACTTTACCCCATTACTGGCAGGTATCGAAGGCAATGGGTCATAGGTACTGTGAAAGAGTTTACCTTGTCTCCAAAACTACAGAATATGGAGTCACAACTGCCTTAAAACCATACCCAAATAATGATTCGAGATTGGGACACATACCCTAAAGAAATAATCTCACTTCAAAAATTAGGAACATAAAATATATCCAGAGGAACTCGGGTAGCTCAGTAGGTTAAACATCCAACTCTTGATTTTGGCTTAGGTCATGATCTCCTGGTATGTGGGTTCAAATTCTGCATCAGGCTCTGTATTGTCAGTGCAGGGCCTGCTTGGGATTCTCTCTCTCCCTCTCTCTGCCCCTCCCCTGCTCATGCTCACTTTCTCTCTCAAAAATAAACATTAAAAAAGTTTTTTAAAAAAGATATATCCAACAGCACTACAAATAGCAAGAAAGGCAGAAACAGCAAACAATGGGGAAATAAAGTAACATAACTAAATAAAAGAC